TGTGTGTGTGAGAGAGAGAGAGAGAGAGAGTGTGAGAGAGAGAGAGTGTGTGAGTGAGAGAGAGAGAGAGTGTGTGTGTGTGTGTGTGTGTGAGAGAGAGAGAGAGAGTGTCTGTGTGTGTGTGTGTGTGTGGTTGAAGGAATACACACACACCATCAAACACACACGCACTGACACACAAGGCACAAACAGAACACACACACACCCACACATTTTTGTGCTTTTGTTTTTTCTTTAATTATCCAGGGACTATATCCAATCGATAAATAGATTGGATATAGCCATTGAAAAATGGTGGGCAGGGGTGTTCTAAGCCACACACCGTGTATACATGAATGGAACTTCGTTTTTTGGGGGCTGATTTCAGATACACAGGATGCATGGAGATAAACCAACACCCCGAGACCCAAAAAAAAAAAAAAAAAAAAAAAAAAAACAACAACAACAACAACAACAACATGTATGGCCACCCTTCCTATACGAATGGCATACGAGTACGAGTACAGGTTCGTACAGCCGTGTGTGTATGCGAACGTTAAAAAAAAATCTCACAAAAATCTGAAAAAATATATATGTCATGTAAAACAACAATACGAGCAACTTTTGCCTTGAGAGAACCCTGGGAGGTGTTATAAAAACTGGATCCATTCCGGTCGTGATATCCAGCCCACCTCCGGGGCTGTAGCATCCTTGAACTCACACCACACACACACAACACCACACAACGGACACGGCAATCAACACACTCCGCTCGGACAACACGCAGCCCAGGTTAAGTAGCGGTGGTGGGGCTGCGTGTTGTCCGAGCGGAGTGCGTTGATTGCCGTGTCCATGGTGTGGTGTTGTGTGTGTGTGGTGTGAGTTCAAGGACGCTACAGCCCTGGAGGTAGGCTGGATATCACGACCGGAACAGAGGGCTCGTAGTACCTACCACACTTCGTACCTACCGGCAGAGGGGAAGGAGCCTAAATCGACAGACTTGGATCGCGAAACCAAGCACGTCGCATACTTGAGAGTTAAGGACACTTCTTTGTGTGTTGTACGCTCAACGAATGGGACTAAGCAGGGCGCTAGCCAGACTTCTGAGGCCTCTGCTTTGACATGCACCGATATTCATAACCTAAGGAGCGCTAGCTATGAAGAATTTCGGGCCAGTGGCCTATTCAGCAGTCTCATGAAAGACATAAATCTATGGATTGCTGCCTATAAGAAGCTAGCGCCTAATCCAGGATCCCACGAAGGCGCGAAGCTAGCGCCTAATCCAGGATCCCACGAAGGCGCGAAGCTAGCGCCTAAACCAGGATCCCACGAAGGCGCTGGGGAAACGATAGCTCTTCGAGCCTCTATGAAGTCACTCGAGGACGAAGGACGAAGGACGAAGGCAGCTCACAAGAGCTGGACACGAAGTGTTGAGGTAATGCGTACTATTCTAGAAACAGTGTGTGAACCACGCTTCCTGAAATGTTCCAACTCTGAATGGATCCAGTTTTCATAACACCTCCAAGGGTTGTAGTGGTTACGAGACTTCATTCATGAGGCTGAGGGTGCCGGTTCGAGGCCATGCGTGCACGGCGGGGCCTGATGCCCTAAAATACACGTTGTTCAGTAACTACTAATGTTCGAATTCTTAGCCAAACGTGAGTAAAAACTCAGAAATCCGGAAAAAAAAAAGAAAAAAAAAAAATGATTGCCCAATCACGTTCGCACGACCGTGCGAACACGTTTGCGTGGAACGCAGCGCGACGCGAACACGTTCGCCGTGCTACGCAGCCGCTCATATTAGTTATTGGGATGTAGCTGGGAAAGAGAGTGGTGGTAGTTTCGCCCACCAGTACACACCTCACATTGGCCGCGGGGCTTGTCAGAGGCCGAAATGTGCCGTGGGCCTTGTGAGAGGCCAAAATGTGCCGCCGGCCGCCGATCTCTTTAGTCGACGGCAAACAATAAGACATTTATTCGTGTTCGCCTCCTCAGTACTAAAAAAAGGTGCGGGTGGCAAAGGTACGCCTTCTGAGGTAATAAAAAAACTAAAAAAAATTGAATTCCACGAGTTTGAAATCCCACTAATATAGTAAGCGGCTGTAAGCCCAATAAAAATAGATCATGCGCACTGGCGCCAACTTTTTTGGATCTTTTTTTGGGGGGGATCTTTTTTAGATCAGCTATTGAGCGTTCAAAAAAAAAAGAAAGAAGAAGAAGAAATGAAATGAAATGAAAAAAATGAAATGAAACAGCGAGGCCAATCGCTATGCGTCCATGTCTCAACGAAGAACATTGAAGCTCCTACACGGAAGAAGAAGATGAAGAAGATGAAGAAGAAGAAAAAGAAGAAGAAGAAGAAGAAGAAGAAGAAGAAGAAGAAGAAGAAAAGAAAAGAAAAGAAAAAACTTCAAAAAAGAGAGAGAGAGAGGGGTTCACTCCCAAAGTTCAAACTTCATTTCAAATGTCATAGAATTGAAAAGCAAAATACGCGTCCTTCGCGACATCCATTTAAAAAAAAAAAAAAATGGAATGATACAGGGAAGATAAGCGTGGTGGCCCCCGCGCAACAAAAAAAAATAAAAAAAGGAAAAAAACAAAAAAGGAAGAAGCTAAAAAGGGGAGAAAAAAAAAAACTTTAAGCGAAACAGAACTGAAGGGGGTGGTCTATTGTTGTTACCTTTTTTAGGTCTGCCATAATTAGAGGACTCCCGCTGCGGCAAATTACTGAAGTGCCCTTCAGATCGAACTCCATTTTTGCGATATCACTCTCCATCTGCTCTTTGTCCCTTTCCGCCAGCACGACGACGACCCCTCCTCCCATGCTCTCATTTGCAATAGCCAACTGATTTAACAATGACCCCTGGGTGTATAAACGGCGACAAAAAGAACAGATCGTGAGTTTGAATCCCACCTCTGCGTCAAAGCCTTCTGCTGCCTTCTGCATGCGCTCACATCTCTATTGCCTTTCGGGCAAGCAAAGCAAACCCGAACAAAGTCATGTATTACTTGCCTGTTTGTCATTTGTTTCATATTATTATTATTTTTATATAAATACCTCGGTTACCAGAGTGGACCGGGTCCACTTGCCCGGCCGGGCCAAAAAGAAATAAAAAAATAAAAAAAAATAAAATTATTTTTTAATTAAAAAATTGTAATCGAAATTTGGTAAGGAATTTTTTATTTTATTTTTTTGGGGGGGGTGATCACAACTGTCTATATTCTTCTCTCAACTTCTGTTTGTTTAGGCAAAAGTTGTTCAGTTTAGTTTTTTTCTGCATAACATAGTTTTT